TGCGACCCTGGTATGTACGCCACTGAATGCACATTACTTTCACCAGCAAAAACATTTTTCAGCTTCCAGGTTTAAAAAATTGAGGTGCGCATTAGATTCAAGTAAATACGGTAGTTCTGTTTCTCTCCTGCTGCACTCACACAGCGCTTGCCCCTCCTTACTTCCCATTGCAGATATTGCTTGCTCTCAGGCTGAATTCAAGCCGGGTGAGGCACACAGGTGAGGGGATTCACAGATAACAGACATGCAAAGTACAGCCTTCTTATCTCTGTGCTGATTGGCACAGAAGAAACTGACACAGGAGGGAAGAGCTGTCCTGATTTTAAAGAAATATAGACATTCGCTAGCAATTCTGCTAGCACAATGTATAGATGAAATTTGATTCTTTATCATTAAGTTGTATTTGTGTTGATAAGTAATCTTTAAGTAATCTCAAAGAAGAGCTGATAGTAATAAACAATAGCTACAGCTTGACTGAGCTTTTTTTTTTCACAATAAGCCGCAAATACAGTATGTGTAGATGTGCCTGGGATGGGCATTATGTCCCATACAGATCAACTTTCATTTAACATTTGCTACAATGAGAGGAAAGAAGATATATTCCATTGGGCAGAACATCAAATACTATTAAAAGGACAGTTAAATGGTTACAACTTAGATTTGTAACTAATAAGAGTCCTGTTGTGCAGAGTATGAAAAGGTGAATTTGCATCTACTGTTAAAGCCGCACTGTCATGCTGAACTTACCTTTCCCCAATCGATTCCTCTTCTCTCCCTCTCTCAGGATCTGTTCTTCATTTCTTTCTGTCTGCTCTAGTTTTCTTTAAAAATTAAGACAAAGTAGGGACTATTTTTCTTATGGAGGTTTCCTACCCCATGACCAGCGGAGGAGCAAAGTGTGCTTCGTTTCCGGTGGTCAGAGAAATTTTCCCATGATCCTTAGTTTTCCTCCCTGTTCCCACGATGACTCCTGTCCATATTGCCGAACGTCCTGTCACTAAGACAGAACGCCGGCAAAACTGCTGAATTGCGTCCTAACAGAATGAGAACAGTTTCTCCATTCGTGTTAGAACGCAATTCGGGACTTTGTTCAGATCGCAATTTCATTCGAATGAATGAAACTCCGATCCTATTCGTGCTGTTGCTGCATATTGCGGTGGGTGGGGGCCATAAAGTTAATGGGGCGGGGGGGGGAACACACCTTGTGTCCTCCACACCGGCCCCCACCCCTGGGCGGCGGCAGGGCACTAAGACAAATCCCCCCCCTTCAAAAGGTGACATGGGGTCCCCAAGCCCCTAGTCACCCCCCACCCAAATAAAAACTATCCCCTACCTAGCCCCTCACCCTACAACTAGTGAGAGGGGAATAAAATAACTAACCTGTAAATAAAAAATTACCATTTGATGTCTTTCTTCTAAAATATCTTAATTTTTCAGCCCCAAAAAAGGCCAAATAAAAAAACCATCATACTCGAACTTAAAATAAAATCCGAGCGTGAAAAAAAAAAAAATTCCATCTTCACCCATGGAGGGCTCCGTGCAGACTGAGCTTTGCAGGGCGGGGGAAGGCTTACAAAGGCTTGCCCCGCAATTAGGCTAAGAACACTATGATTGGTGTGCTTTAAATCTAACCAGAGTGCTCGGTCTCATTTTACACAGCGTGGGAAAGTTCTTTGGAATTTTCCCACGCTATGTAAAATGACACAGAGCACTCTGATTGGTGGGCTTGGAATCTAACCAGAGTGTTAGGAGTCAAATTACACAGCGTGGGAAAATTCCAAAGAACTTTCCCACGCTGTGTAAAATGACAAAGAGTACTCCGATTTGCTTAAACAAACCAATCCGAGCGTTCTTAGCAGAATTGCAGGGCGGGGCAAGGCTTTATAAGACTTCCCCCGCCCTGCAGAGCTCAGTATGCGCGAAGCCCTCCATGGGCGAAGATGGATTATTTTTTTTAGCGTCTGGGTTTTTTTTGCGCTGATTTTTTCTTTTATTTTAAGTTCAACGGGTATGATGGTTTTTTGTTTGGCCTTTTTTGGGGCTGAAAAATGAAGAGTTTAGAAGAAAGAAGACATCAAATGGTAAGTTTTATTTTTATTTACAGGTTAGTTATTTTATTCCCCCCTCATTATTTTTAGGGTGAGGGGGTAGGTAGGGGATAGTTTTTATTTGGGTGGGTGAATAGGGCCTTGGGGACCCTTAATTTGTCTTAGGGGCCCCACCTGCCGCCCAGGGGTGGGGGCCGGGGGGAGGACAGTAGGTCCCCCGCCTCATTATCTTTATGGCCCCCATCCACCACTCAGGGGTGGGGGAGGACAGTAGGTCCCAACCCCTTATTGTTATTTAGGGCCCCCACCCGCCGCTCAGGGGTGGGGGTCAGGGAGGAGGACAGCAGGCCCCCCCCTTGTTATTTAGGGCCCCCACCCCCCGTGCAGGGGTGGGGGCGGGAAGGACAGTAGGTCCCCCCCCCTCATTTTTATTTAGGGTCCAAACCCCCCACGCAGGGGTGGGGGCGAGGACCCACCGCACAGGGGTGGGGGCAATAGGTGTGTTTTGTTTTTGTAACAGTGACCAGCCATAGGCTGCTCACTTTTTACTAGACATGCCCCTACTCACAGTATAGCGAGTAGGGGCAGAATTTACCAATACTAAGTAATCTTTACTTAGTATTCGTAAATGTGGCTGAAAGACCAATTTAGGTCTTTCAGCCTTTTGGTAGATAACTCCCTAATTCCCACAGTATTAGGGAGCTATCTACTAAGCGGCTGCAAGATGCAGCCACAGCACGAATAGGATCGGAGTTTAATTAATTCGAATGAAATTGCTATCCTTACAAAGCCCCGAATTGCGTTCTAACACGAAAGGAGAAACGGTTCTCATTCTGTTAGGACGCAATTCGGCAGTTTAGCCGGCGTTCTGTCTAAGTGACAGGACGTTCTGCAATACTGACAGGAGGTATCGTGGGAAGAGGGGGGAAAGCTAAGGATCATGGGAAAATTTCTCTGACCACCGGAAACGAAGCACACTTTGCTCCTCTGCTGGTCATGGCGTAGCAAACCTCAAGAAGAGAAATAGTCCCTACTTTGTCTTAATTTTTAAAGAAAACAAGAGCAGACAGAAAGAAAAGAACAGATCCTGACAGAGGGAGAGAAGAGGAATCGATTGGGGAAAGGCAAGTTCGGCATGACAGTGCAGCTTTAAATACAGTGTATGTCAGGAAACACATCAGCAAGTTAATAATAAACAGAGTACAGCTATACTTGTTAACAGATGTCAGGTAATAAACCCTGATCTCCAGTATGATGTAGAATGAGACATTGAATATGTGCAAACAAACAGTCTAATGTCAAACTCGCAATTCCAGCAACAGTGACAAGGGCTAGATTGTTTTCAACACTATAATGCCTGCTTGAATCCAGGAGTGTGTGTGAGAGGACAGCTCTAAAATCACATTTTTACGAGAGCAGACATTAGGACTTGTTACACAAAACGATATGCCTAGAGCACCCAGGTCTGAGATTAGTCTAAACCTAGTTGATTGCACTCCTCAAATTATACTGTTTCATGTATAAACCATAATTTAAAAAAGGTTACTCTAAGCACAGTGATCTTCATTAGTGATTTGAAGTGGTCATGATGCTTGAAGTTTCAGCAGTTCAGTAATTGACACTGCATATAGAGACATTTGATGTTGCTGCCAAAGCTGTACTTCCACCCCATCAGCAAGCATGGAACAAGAGTTCTTGACCGACTATGGACCCTGCATATGCTATGCATCGCGTAGCATTTATTGGCTAAGCATGCTGATGCTTTAACTCAGGGGAGGGGAATGTTTGGCCCCTGGGCCGTACAAGGCACGCAAAATCATTTGGTCTGGCCCTGCAAAGACAACCACAGGTGGAACTCAAAATTCAAAAGCCCTAATGATATTTAAAAAAAAAAAATTTCACCTTGGATTGTAAGTGAGTCCAAGAGAATTAAGGAGGAAGGTACTGGAGGCCTGTGCATTATGGCTGCCAGAAGGAACTTTCTGTACCTCTCCTGCTTTAGCCTGCACTCATGTTCTATTGCTGCACTCAAACTTAGCCCCAGACCCCAGCAGCTGACCACACCAACAGGGAGAGGCTGAAAAGTGGGAACTTTACCTCCCAGTGCTCCCACAACATTCAGTGCCAGGTAGGCTTAATCAGCAACACATGAGAGTGAGAGTGGTCTTGCCTGTAGTTTAGCATGTGTGTCAGTGAGCAGGTCAGTGACCGTGTTAGTAGTCAGTATGTGTCACTGAGCTTGCCTGTAGTGAGCATGTGTCACTGAGCTTGCCTGTAGTGAGCATGTGTCACTGAGCTTGCCTGTAGTGAGCATGTGTCACTGAGCTTGCCTGTAGTGAGCATGTGTCACTGAGCTTGCCTGTAGTGAGCATGTGTCACTGAGCTTGCCTGTAGTGAGCATGTGTCACTGAGCTTGCCTGTAGTGAGCATGTGTCACTGAGCTTGCCTGTAGTGAGCATGTGTCACTGAGCTTGCCTGTAGTGAGCATCGCAGAGAGTTAACTGCGCTCCAGACTGGCTGACACAAACCTAGAAAAGAAGTTGCAAATAGCAACATAATCAATAACAGATAACATCACAAGCCTCACAAACGAGCAGCAGTTCCAGCCATCACATTAGGGGTGAGTTAATTAAATGTTTGACCAAATATAGCAGGGTAATTTTTAAATTAATAATTTTGTAAGGCTCGCAAATGATGTTATAAATATTTAAATGACCCTTGGCAGAAAAAATAAAAATAAGGTTCCCCATCCCTGCTCTAAGCAAATAAATGACTGGGGAATGACAGAGGTAGGATTATCACCTGCGTCAGAGAAGACCCTGTGTGGGGGTAAGAGAAAATCATTTTAAAAACAATGCTGGCTGTAGTGGTTACAATTCTCACAGTAAACCTCTAAGATTACAGACTTGGGAAAAAAGGGGTGTGGGAGGGAATTCAATTGCCCCGTTATGTCATTAATTGACCCTCTACAGCAAAATGACAGCTTTGTTCGGGGGGAAAAAAAAAATCCACAGATTTCAAGTAAACATAATCAAAACACAACACTTGTCCTAGCCCAGATTCCATACAACGTGTAATTCCTTGGTATATAAATATGTTCTAGATAAAGCACAGTCTGCACACTTATTTACGTTACTTCATTTTTGTGCTGATTTTGTTTTTTGTTTTTATTAGGTTTTTTTTTACATTTTTTTTTTTTTATGTTGAGACAGAGAAAACAAACACTCCGGGGACAAAGTGGGTGGGGAAAGACAGATGTCATAATAAAAATGATTACAACAGCACCTGGAATTGATAGGCCTGCCTAGGAGAAATACAGGCACTGCCACAACACCACAGGAAATAGCTACTGTCTGAAAATTGTGCAGACAGTCCAAACTCCATTGACTGGCGCTATAGGTCCAAGTCATAAAAATCATCCAGATCCTCGTGGAATAAGTCCCACTCATCCTCTGAGTCTGTCAAGTCTTCATCCGTGCCAGCCGCTAGCAGCATGAGCAGCATTTCACCAAGTTCAAACGTCACCACTTCATCTTCATCATTATCAAATAGGCTGCCATTTTCTCGATCTTCAAAATCCCAGAAGCGGTTCCTGCGCTGGGCCTGGAGAGAGAGTGGAAATTTAGGAAAAAAAATTTTTCTTGACAAAGACTATAAACAGGGAGCGTTGTAGCAGGAGGGGAGGGGGCACTGCAGCACAGAATGTGATCCCCTGAGCCTCAAATTTTTAAGAGTGTAGGAGTGACCTGGGTTGTGAAAGGAATGCAGGGATTGATATAAAGGAAGTATGACACTGCCATTTACATATATAAAAAGACACTCATTACATACATACTTTACATTAAGATGCTCTGCAATAATTTTTTCACATAATTTTCAATACGCATGTGCTCAAAAGTTAAGTTGCTTCAGGGAGAGGGAACGTATATGTATTTTATTCAGGCAACTGCCACAGTGGATCAACGTTTCAGTTCTGTATCAGAACTTTTGTCAGGGACGAAAGTTCTGATACAGAACTGAAACGTTGATCCACTGTGGCAGTTGCCTGAATAAAAGCTAAGTTTTTTCAACTTTATTACAAAGTCCCTGGAGGAGGGAGAGAATATATATATATATATATATATATACATACATATTATACATACATACATATTATACATACATACATACATATTATACATACATACATACATACATACATACATACATACATACATACATACATACATACATACATACATATATATATATATACATACATATATATATACATACATACATACACACACTAGATTGATTAGCCGTATTAGTCCAGTAGACAAGATGCCAAAATACCAGAGTATTACAGTATGCAATAATTGATACCTTTTTTTAAACTATCAGATTGATCAGTATTGCTTCAGACTGGAGGAAGAGAGGAAAACTCTTGAATGCTTGTCTTTGAAATATTATGTTAGTCCAATAAAAAAAATAAAAAAAGGTATCATTGCATCCCATTGTACAGCGCTACAGAATCTGATGGCGCTATATAAATAAAAATAATAAATGATAGATATATAGAGAAAGAATATCTTTCTCTCTCGATATCAGAAGCAAAAACCAAAAATGTTATAGTGGGGAAAAATTGTGACTGAAAACACCTTCCAGTCTGTGGATCGATAGTATACAATGCTAAAAAAAAAAAATCTGCACACCAGTTAAGCCATAAAATTTGCTTTTCCCACAGAAATAACAAATAATATACAGTGATGTTACTACCGCAAAGGATTCTGGGTGGGCATATGTAAATTAGTTTAAGAATCACATGTTTGTCTCATTCCATTTTAAACATGGATTCCTTTGAGTCTGTGTCTGCTGCATACAACAGCTTTGAAACACAACTTGAGAAAAGATGCAAAGCCAGTGGAACCACTCATGGACAGCTGTTTCATTGTTAATGCAAATCATCAGCATGATGTTGGTTACTGGTTTGCTTATTGAGGCTTGGTAATGCTTGGGAAGCAAAAACAAAAAAGGTTATGGTGAAAAAAAAAAAATTGATTGAAAATCCCTTCCACCTTACGTCTGTGGATAGATAATACAATGTTAACAAAAATCTGCACACCAGTCAAGCCAAGTAAGTCCTATGGCTTGACTGGTGTGCAGATTTTTGTTTAACATTGTATTAACTATCCACAGACTTTATATGCTAGATACTACAGGGCAGCACTTTTTATGTAACTTCCTTATTCCTTAATATAGTGGCAGTACAGCAAACAACTGGGGGGGATGTACTTTCTTTTTTGGAGCAAGACATTTTGCATAATAAACTTAATAAAATTTAAACCTCCTACTCACCCTATATAATCCGGTAACTCCACCACCATGTCAGTAATAGTAAGAAAAACATGGAGACCAAATCTATGCAAAATATATAACTTTATAGGGAACCTGTACTCCCCACTATGCTAGAGGGATACTATACTGTTAGGAATACTAAGCTGCATTACTGGCACTCCTTCGACGTCCCTCAACGAGCGGGCACTAATGCACATTTGCGGCAAATGCTACTTACACATTAGGCCTCCCCATAGGAAAGCTTTAAATCAATGCTTTCCTATGGGGAAAAAGCTGAAGCTCCTCATGCAGAGTGTGAGGATGTCCAGCGTCAGGTACTGGACCAAAAGTCCATTAGTATCCAGGAAGCGCCTCCAGTGGCTGTCCGGTAGGCAGCCACTGCTGGCAGACTTAGTGCTGCAATATAAACGTTGCAGTTTCTCTGCAACTGCAATGTTTTACATTGCAGCGCAAAGTGCAATAGGGGCACTGCACCCAGACCACTTCAATGAGCTGAAGTGGTTTGGGTGCCTATAGTGTCACTTTAAGAAGAAAAAAAAAAAAAAATTTTGCGGTAAGTTGCTGGCTTCACTAATCAGCATCTCCTCATAGACATGCATTGAATCAATGAATCTCTACGGGGAAAGTTCAGCATCTCCATGCAGAGGGTGGAGATGCTGAAAAGTCAGTGCTAAACACCCTGCCCCATGAAGCACCTCCCTACAGAACAATGTAAACACTGCCTTTTCTCAAAAAAAAAAAAAAAAAAGGTAGTGTTTACATTAAAAAGCCTGCAGGGACAGTGTATAGTCACCAGACAACTGCATTAAGCTGCAGTCCAGGTGACTATAGTGTCCCTTTAACACCATTTGTTTTAATTCCGAAAACCAGCTTCTGTTTGACCAATACCGAATTATAGCAAGTACCAATGCTCGGTCTCTTCTGATTTTCTGAAGAATCTTGGGAACCAAGAACAAACACCAGCTTATAAGCTAGCTTGAAGGTCCATTTGATTGACATTGCGCCAAGAATGGAAGGAAATGTTATTTGAACAATGATGCGAACACAGGAACTTTTCTGTTCGACCAAATTTTTCTTACAAGAATCGCAAAAAACAAAAAAAAAACTAAAAACTCTGGGTGTAGGGACTATTCTTTTCACAACCATTGAGTTCTGACCCTTGTGCTTCCTTGAATCCTGACGGCCTTGCTCGCAATCCAAGTTTTGAATTGCAGAAGAGCGTAGCTGTATCTCTCTAGTTTGATGACTGGTTAGACTCTTCTGATGAACAAACGCCCTGGCAAAGAGGAGTGTGAAGATGTGCACCCCATCCGAACATTGATGTGTCCGTTGAAATAATGAGCCATTCTCTTACATGGAATGGTAATACATCTAGGGACAGAACCTTGATCCCTTTCACCACGTCAGCTATTTTTGAACGCTGGTAATCAGTCTGAATTCCACATGTAGGACCCAGTCTTTCCTTGACCAATTTTCTAGCATTTCCCATTGAATAGGTCTTATTGCCATTTTTGCCCATTTGACAGGCAGAATGGAGGGAGAATACAAAGAACACTCATAGCGCTTTTAATTATACAACTTGGTTCCTGTTGTAGAAACAATTTCTTTCCTTATCTTTTTCCTTTTTTGAAAAGGCAGACAAAGGGATAGAGCTTGCATCCATTAAAAGACCCAGGAACTGAATCTACATGTTTTTTGTAATAAAAGCATCTTAGCCTGAATGTTTTTCTGCAGGAAATTCTTTGACATACCAGTTGTCCAAATATGATACGTTATACATGTATTTCTCTCAGAAAGCGGCTGCCAGAGGAGTCAGAATTTTCGTAAATATTCAAGGGTAGCGCCTTGAATTTAAAATGAAGGATCCTATTCCATGAATAGATTGCAAATAGAACAAAATGTTTGCGGAGACCGCCATCGGAACATCAAGTGTTTTGTTTGAGGACCTTGGGATCTTTTAAATTACTCTATTTTTTTTAATAAAACAATCGATTCTGCAAGGAGATTCTCAGTTTAGGACTGAGAAAGGTAGGAAGACGTCAGGAATTTTGGCATGGGCTTTTGGTAAATCTGATCTTGTAACTGTTTGAAATCAAATTCAAGATCTATGTATTTGAAGTGGTATGCTTCCATACCTGATCGAACCTTTGGAGTTTTCCTCCCACTTTGTTGGTATCAAAATCTCCGCTCCTTATCTTGCCTCTTGGTTTGTTTCTCACCAAACATCGTTTCTCTGGGTTGCCTATGGAAATTGTGATATCTGTCTTGATCTTTAAAAGATCTCTGGTTGTGAAAATGAAATTATTTACTGAACTCCATAAGTATCTTATCTTGACAAAGTGTCTTTTTGGTTTCAGGTATCTGCTTGATGATCTTCTCCATGGTAGCACCAAATAATTTGTTTCTTTTGAATTCGGTAATTCGCATAATGCCAATATAAGATGCCTTATCAACCATCCATGACCTGAGCCATAAAGCCCTACTGGCAACTGAAGACAAACCCATTAAATGAGAAAATAGTTTTAAGACCTCTTCGGACATGTCAATAGAGTATTCATTTGCCAATCTGATGTTATGCAGAAGATGAGCCATATCTTTCTAAGAACTGTTCATCAAACAAATCTTTTATGGATTGAAGCCATAGACTGCTCTCGCAACTGATGCCATTTGCACTGAAATCCTGCAGGATATTTCTGCCTGTCCATCAGGTCTCCTAAACTGGAAATGCCACTTGAATATCCACTTTAGGCAACTCTTACGACCTCTTAGTCCTGCAGTTTAAAAAGATCTTTAAAATGCTTTGACATTAGAATTAAACGGGTTTTTTTTTTTTTTGATTATTCACCTCCCTCTGCACCAATTTCAAGAGCATAGGCTAAATAGGATCTATGTATATACGCTTAGAGGGTACATCTTCTTGCAAAATTGATTAAACTTCCTTAACAAACCTCCAAAGCGCTTCTGGTGGAAAGTCTGCATTCACACTAGATGCTTGACTGGAGATATCTGACATAGAAGAAGATAACGGAGCAAGAACGTCTCTCGGCATAAAAACCTTACTGAAGCAGTTGCTCCACTGCCTGGGAAGCTATCAGACTCTGACCCACAGGCAGCATCTTGTGTGCCTCACCAGGCTGAAATGCTTTCAAACAGAAATGGGGCAAGAGAAAACTGACAAGGTAGTGTGGTTACAGGATTTTATAGAGTGAGTAGGAGGAATTTAAAAAGTTTAAGTGTATTTTGCAGAATGTCTTGTCCCAAGACAGACACTATATGCCAGAAAAATATGGTGGATAATCTAGCCAATGCTTCTCTACGAGAAAAATCACTACTAGAGAACAATTGTTCAAATACAGAGAAGAAGCCCTTGTGGGTGTCAGTTTGACAGCGAGGAGGCTTTCCCAGCCGGTGTTATTGAAAACAGTTTTCCTAGCGCTATAGGAATCTACAGTGCGCCCCCCCACCTCACCCTAGGTGTGGACGCTAAAAACCCCTTCATCACTTACCTGATTCCAACGCCAATGTCAGCTAGCGTGGGGGACCCAATGAACCTGCGCAGCAAGCACCGCGATCACATTAGGATTTCCCCCATAAGAATGTATGTAAAATGCTTTCCAATGGGGCTTTGGGTGATGCTGAATGTCCTCATGCAAACATGAATAAATATGGCCCCAGCAAACAGAGGGAGCTCCAGGTATTGATTGCTCACACAAGAACATTAGCACGTTTCATCATTAACGGAGATAAAGCCCAAGCTTTGTAGGACACAATGGCATGTCCTATCAAGAGAATAAAACCAAAAACAGAATCTGACTGACTCTTTAATACTCATGCTTGCACCATAAGAATGAACAGTCTATTTTTAAATTAACACCACTGGACACACAAAAAAAAAAAAATTATTACCAATAACTAGTGCTACCCTAGTTCATGTGATGCTCAATTTTTTTTTTTTAAGTTCTATTAAAACTTCGCAAATGATACCACAATGCAGTTCAGTCCAGGCACAGATAAGGCACACAATGCATATGAGCAGCCAGTAACCTGATGTATCTTATCCTTCCCAGTGCAATATGCGTGAGCATACAGTGCACATTAACAGTTTCCTGCACTGTGTGATAAAGACTATACACAGAAACATCTTCAAAATGCAATGACAAACTGAATGTAAGGTAGTATATACAACCAACAGCAGATTTGGGGATACGGCTGAATAAGTCTATAACAAAGGAAAATAAAGACAAAATAGTGCAATACAGTAAACACTTAATATATCATGCGCCACATGAAATGCACTCACAGAATGTTGGCAAACACAGCACTCATAGGGTGCCTCCCCCGAAGTAGCTGGGGGGCTAGTAATCCCACTCTCCACTCCACAGTCACCAGTTCGTAAAACAGGACTCCCGGAAGATGAAGATAAAAAAGGATTGGTTATATATAAAAAGGTGAAACAGTCACCATAAACGTTAATATAAACGAAGGAATAAAACAACCTGTTTTACGAACTGGTGACTGTTGAGTGGAGAGTAGGATTACTAGCCCCCCAGCTACTTCGGGGGAGGCACCCTATGAGCACTGTGTTTGCATTTCATGTGGCGCGTGATATATTGTTTACTGTATTGCACTATTTTTTGTTTATTTCCCTTTGTTTTAGACTTATTCAGCCGTATCCCCAAATCTGCTGTTGGTTGTATATATTCTATGTAAAGGTCGGTTTTAGGTAACGACCTGGGGAGGCTGCTTTGCATCCGTTGAAGCCAAGTATTGTACATTATTCACGAATATTCACAGGTGGTGATATTTTGGTTTTGAATGTAAGGTAGATCTGCTTCTCATTTGCAAAATGCAATACCAACCACTTAAAAAGGTTACTCAAACTACCATGACCAATTCAGTGATTTGAAGTGGTTATGGTGGTAGGAGTCAGTATGCGCATTGCTTCTGCTTTAGAATAGCGTCCTGGGGGCTAGTTGCACCCCCAGCACACATGACATTAGCAGCCCAAGTGGAAGTAGAGATAAGTTTGTCACCATCACTGGGGGCTGAAGATGGACATTGTAGGTAGGTCCTCAGATTGCTCTTATGATTTAGTCATCCTGTGCCCATTATAGGTACCGGGTATGTGTTTTGCTCCCCACTTTCGTTGTTTTCCCAGAAGGGTGTTGTCCCTTTGTTCCAGAGACACTTCCAGGCTAGTTCAAACTAGCTGTACTGTCACTCCCTTAAATCTCCCATGTGGTCCTTAGCCCTTGTTATTGTCCGTTCCCACCCTACCTTGTAAATACAGTAATGCCTTTACATTAATGTAGAACAGAATAGACGTTAATTGGCTTATTGTGTGATTGTGAAACAGTTACTGTGCAACACTTCTTGGTGTCCAGCAGGTAAGCCAATTATGGTGACAAACTAATTATGTCCTGGACACCAAGACTCTGGGCAGGGACTAACATGGTTTTAACTGATGACTTCCTTTGGAGAAGATGCTTATGAAATACCTGTGTTCAATAAAGTCAGTTCTACTTCACCCTTCACGAAGTCTCGGCTAGTGTTTTAGTGTACAGCTATATCACTGTATACTGATCCATGGTGAAAAAGCTCCAGAAAGACCCCAGTCAAGCTGCAGCAACCGGGGTAGAAGCGCCCCAGGCTTTCCAACAAGCTTGGCAGAGGTACCCAGGCAGGGAACAAGGAGCTCCGTTACAATAAGACTTCAGCAAGAGCTAACTTCAGAATCTAGAGAAGTGAAAGCTAATCCTCTTAAAAATAATTTAATTTGCAGATTGCGATTAGAACGAGTAGTACCAATAGCAAACTAAAATGACAGTCATAATTATGCATTGTTTCATTCTAACAGGATTTCAGTTTCCCAAAAAATAAAAATACATGGCGGGAGAATATGCAGCTGGATTTCAAGCAACCAGCAAAAGAGGAGCAGTTAGTCAGAAGAAAAGAAAGAATTTAAAATAAAAATGATGCCCCCACCACTACAAAAACACACCCATTTCACCCCCATAACAGTACTTAATGCTTGCAAAGAACAAAAAAAAAAAAGTGGGGTTTTAGAATGTGTTTAAGGTGTTTCTTTGACCTGTCTGATGACTCCATTACACCACCAAAAACACAATACCTATTTGTAATGAGCAGCTTCACTACAAATTAAATTTATTTTTTTACACTACACAAAAGATGTATGGTTTTTGTATATGAAGACATGGACACTTACCCGGTACCTGCCTGACATCCCTCCCTTTTGCCGTGGTTGTGGTTCTTCAATACGGCCATCAGGGTATGCATGCTTGTAAAAACAATTTCCACTGAATGGGCAGGTCCCACGTCCTTCGTCAAAATATCGACACGACTTGTTGCTTGGGGGGTGGAGAGGGGGAGAAAAAAAAAGTAAGCTTTCACAGACATAAAACATGAAAACTGTACAGTAGTACAAGTTACATTTACTCAACACAAGCATATAAGATCAGAATAAATTTTAATCCAGCAGATAAAACCAGTAACCATTACTTGTGATAGTAAAAAGAGAAATCCAACCACTATGATAACTTATGCCTAATACGGAATATATGGATCAAGGGTGTCCACAGTCCTTGCCTTTTAGAACATCTGCAAATCACCACAACTATAAACTTGCCTCCTCTTCCGCCATTGTCTTCTGAAAAGGTAACATTTTGGTGTCACATAAAATATATGACCATACAAAAGTTGCTAAAAACACTTTAGTTTTCCTAAACACTATAACCGAATAACAAGCCAGGTCTAAATTATGCAGATGTACCTCATGGCCTCCTTGTACTTCTGGATTAGCTTCTGTTTCTCCTCCTTTTCCTCAACCCAATACTCACTCGGAACAATAAAGTTTGAAGTGATGCGGCACTCAGGACAAGATCTTTAAATATAATATGCAGTAATTAGAAAGGAAAAAAAAAAATCCCACATCCAAACATTAAATACTATATCGCCAATTGTAAATTCTATGTTTAAAAAAAAAAAAAAAAGGAAAATTTAAATTTTGTTCACTCTAAGCACTTAAGTATATTACATAAACATGTACTCATCTCATGTAGAAGAAATGTGGTTGTAACAGAATGGATGCATTTAAAGCAGAAGACACTGTTACTTTTTTATTTTAAAGATCTTTTTGGAACACATGCTCTTAGCAATTTCAGCCTCTTTTCTCAGACAATAGAAGGGTAAGCTCCCAAGGAGAACAAACTGCTCAAACACAGAGCACTTTTCAGTCCGCTCAAATGCAAGTTCACCAATGGATAGACAAATCACAAAAATTAAATTGGCAGCTCAATTGTATGCTTAAAGGACCACTATAGTGCCAGGAAAACAAACACTCTCTTTCCTAGCACTATAGTGCCCTGAGGGTGCCCCCACCCTCAGTGTCCGCCTCCCGCCGGGCTCTAGGAGGAGGAAGGGATTAAACGTACCTCTTTCTCCAGCGCCAGGCTGGGAACTCTCCTCCTCCTTTCCTGAATGTGCATGCACGGCAAGAGCCGCGTGCGCATTCAGCCAGTCTCATAGGAAAGCATTCACAATGCTTTCCTATGGACGCTGGCGTCTTCTCACTGTGAAAATCACAGTGAGAAGCACGCAATCGCCTCTAGCGGCTGACAATGAGACAGCCACTAGAGGCTGGATTAATCCTAATATAAACATAGCAGTTTCTCTGAAACTACTATGTTTATAGAAAAAAGGGTTAATCCTAGATGGACCTGGCACCCAGACCACTTCATTAAGCTGAAGTGGTCTGGGTGCCTATAGTGGTCCTTTAAGGGAACCGTATGGTCACCATAACAACATTTAAAGGAAGTTCAGCTTAGTTTCAGGAAGCGCAGAGTGCCATCGAGTAGGAGCACTAGTAATTGGGTACAGCGGTCGCCCTTGGTTTAGAGCAATAGCTGACCGTGCTAACAAATCAGTGGCATCCTTCCGTGCTCCCTAAAAAAACTCAATTGAAGAAGCTGGATGCCGCCTGGGAAAGGAAGACCATGCTCGGAGATCAACTTTTGGGGTTAAACAGTTTGAGAATGGTTCAGGAAAAGTCAAGGATCTATGGGCACTGTTATAACTCAATTTCAAGTAAGTTGTTATGGTGCCCAGACAATTCCTTTAAAGAGAAAAGAAAAGTATATGAAGCAAGGCATTAAACATTTATAAAGAAGTGGTCAATTTCACAACCCACAACATAGAAGGAAAGTTACAGGTGTTATGAGTGGTTAACAAAACTATTAATGCATTTTGCGTTCAGAAGTATTTAATCGCATTATATATATATATATATATATATATATATATATATATATATATATATATATATATATATATATATATATATATATATATATATATATATATATACACACACACACACTCTGCTTTATAAAGGTAATCTGGTCAATGAAACCTGGTCATTCTTAGAAAGTTTCATTTGGAACTGAGGATTTTGTAAAATCTGAAGAAACAGAAAAACATAAAACACTATACCAAATAAAGGTTGAGTGCATGGGGGCCAACATATAGTGTGAAAGGTGCTTTAAGTCCACTGATTAAAGTATAAATTGTGTAACATTCCATTTACCATGATTGTCACTACAACAAACCTGTGCCGGATTCCATAGCACCATTTAACAGTTTCCTTAAATTTTGATGTGGAAAATACAAAACTTTGCATGTCATTTTAGCCTGAAATTCCAATCAGATGTTTAGTACTATAATAATATTTGACTTGCAATCAAGCATGAACTGCACATCCATCAACTTTCAGTTTTCATTGACTGCCTAGTATAGCAGTGCCAGAGAGAAGGTGAGGCTGGGGACCCTTCATTACCTATATTCATAGGTTATTACTGTTATTTATATAGCATTGACTTATTCTGCAGTTCTTTACAATTATACAGTAGGAATACATAACCGCAAGTAATCGACAGACGAAAAAATATGTAAGCAATTAAAAAGAGGGAAGATCATGCATGAAACAAGCTTACAGTCTGGGAGCAAAGCAAAAGGCAAGCCAACTCAAATGTAGATTATGGAAAGCAGAGGTTTATTTCGCAATCATGCAGCAGTTTCATTTAATACACAAATCCCCACTAATCTGAACTAAACAACCCAAAAAAACTAAAACCGAAATAAGGATTTTAAAAAGTTAAGAAAATTGAGAAAACTAGGAGAGTCCAAGTCACACTGCCCTCGCATAAGAGACTAAACCAAACACATACAAACTCAAACTAAAACTCACTTTATGATTTTGCTTTCAAACTGCTTAGCGCTCCTCCACTTGCGGATACATTTCAGACAATAGGAGTGATTACAATTTGAGAGCATGCCAAAACGCCGCTCACTGGGGTTTGCCTTCTCGTAAACTACCTCCATGCAGATCCCGCACACTATATCCTTGCTACGTTGGATGGCAAACGATAGCTCCATGTCCTTCTCATGAGCTTCAATGCAAGACTAGTAAAGAAAGAGCAAAACTGTAAATGTGTCAGGTTCAAACATTACAGATTAATTATACAGGACATTCTCATTTCTCCATTCTTTGCATCCACTCCCCTTCTTCCCAACCCCCCTTCAATTTCATTAACTTTCCCTGGGAGCTGGTGCTTCATCCCTGGTCTCTAGCTTGATAAAGGTACTCGACAGTGCTCCAGCTCATCCTGGTCTGCAGAGATTCTTTGTGTATTGATCCAGGTTGCCATAATGACCTGTTTAGGCACATCACCATATGGCTGGTAGGGATTCTTATCCCAGAGCACACCGAAAACTGCAAGTGACTGCCAGCTTTCCTACCATCAGTAGTATGCAGTTACCACAAAAGGTAATATAAGCAATTCAGTGCAGTGCAGTGCATTGATTGTGGTGCAGGGAGTCTTAAAAAGCCACTACCGGATTATTATTTATTTATTTTTTACACAGAGAACAGTATGTCATGAAAAAAAATATATATAAAAAAAAAAAAAAAAAAAAAAAAGGTAAAAAGTTTTTCACAATTTATAGGTGATTTTCAACTATTTACTCAGTGATGTAAATACCAGGCCAGGAATCCTCATTCAGTTTTAATGAAATCATTGTTAAACAATTTTTTAAAGTATGTCAGTTCCCAGGGACTTCAGGTACTATAACCAATGCCATGACTTTAACTGGTCACATTCCCTTGAATAGACCTAAAAAAGGTGTTAATCTAGATACCGTTATTAAAAGGAACACTGTGGCGCTAGGAATACATATTTATATTCCTAACGCTACAGTACTGGTCCGTCTGTCCCAGAAAACAAATCAAATCAAAATAAGTAAATTTACTCACCCTTTTCTCCAACATTGACACTCCCTTTGCACTGCCATGCCTTAAGTCGCAACATGACGGGTGAATCAATGCTTTGCATAAAGGAGCATTATTGATCATAGACACAAGGGCAGCGCTTGTGAAGTCGCAATATGTTACGGTAGGAGAACCGGTAGGTGAAAATTGTGTTGAATTACTATTGCTACATTAATGCAGATTTTTTTTATTTTTTTTAAATGCAAATTGTATTGCATGTAAAACTAGCTATAATTGAACAAAATTGTGTTTCACATCATTAGAATTACTGCAAGGATAAGGTTCGATAAAAATATTTCATGGCCATGCAAGAAAGAAAAGCTGATGAAGTGATTTGGCTTTGCAGAAAAATAAATAAACTAGGAGTAGTAGATAGCATGTTTGTACCACAAAGTTGATGGCAACTATACTTACCTTTATGTGCTGGGACCTCTGAGATGTGTCTGTTGGATGAAGCACCTGCAACCCACAAAGATCACATGGGTCGCCATGCAAGTAGACACAGTTTTCACCATAGCGGCACTCCCCTACTGCAGCATATGGACATAGTTGTTTCTTTAACTCTGGATCTGCAGGTTGCTCTTTGCATTCTTCATTTTCTGTTACCCGAGTTTCATCTTCAAGACAAGATGGAGCTACAGACAAAGACATAGGAAAAAAAACAAAAAATATTTAAACCAGATGGTGGTGTTGGTGGCAACATTAATATATTAAGCATGCAGCTCAGAATAAGCTTAATACATAAAAAGGCATATTGCAGGTATGCAAACATTAGCAGCTGAAAGATATTCATATTTAAACAAGATCTAGATTGACAGTGCCTACTGAAAAAGGTTCCTGTATTTGCTTACACCTAAAGGAGATTACAGAATTCCTCTAAATATAAAGTTGATATGCGGCTCAAACGAGATTTTAAACGAGGCCACTAAAGATCAATCACTGACAGACAAATAGCACACCATTAGAATCACTCAGTCTCCCAGAACTTCTGTAAAAACTAAAACACTACAGCTTCTAGGTAGAATTCATCATTAAAGTTTTCAAAGTGACTGGGCCACTTAAAAACAAATAGGCTGCACTATATTTGCATAGATTTGTATGTACAATGGCCCATTGGAATAACAATGGTTTTAATTCATTACACAGCAAACAGCTCATAGTAGCTCTATGTACAAGCAATTAAAGGATTTGTTAAATGTTAAGAAAAAAAAAAGAAAAGAAAAAAAACCTTGAAATATGAAACCTATGGTTGTATACTGCAGTGGACGTGGAGAGAAGTTAAAGAGGAACTTTCATTGTGGGATAGGCAACATTCCAATTGCCAGATAAAGACAAGACCGTTCAAGTCACTACAATTTGGTGTTTAGGATACAGAAAACCACACTGCAAAAGTTAGGCTAAAATAGCCAACCTGTGACTATAGTAGAGTTGCAAAATTTTCCCTTCAGATATCGTAGCCTACATTTTGCAGTTTTGTTTTCAATTCACTACCTTTGATAGTTTTGTAAAGAGGCCCCAGTTAGCATATTAAACATTCAGTTAACTTCTTTTTGCATTAAATGCAAGGCTTTATTAGCACAGCATGTCTATATGAGCCTTGTTTATGAACCAATGGGAAATTAAACTAATGAGAGTGGCAGACTGAAAATGGCAATAACGATAACCTGAAAACTTTCAGTAGATGTAAAGGTGTTTTCCCCCTACCTCCACTGTATACCCCACTCCAGTAAAAATCTTTAGAGATAGTATTTACTAGTGTGAGGAAAACAAGAATTTTTTATTGCCCCACTTGGTAGATAATGTGGATACATTGTGTGTGTATAGAAAAGGGACACAAAGCACCAAAACAATGTTCTCTTAATGGAGTGGTGTATAGATCATGACCCTGCAATCTAACAGCGCAATTTTCTGATATTTAGGAACTAAATCACTTGTGTTAATACATCCCTAGCCAAACCTTCCCCTGCATGTGACCTTGACATTTCCTGTAAAGAGAGATCGAATGTTTAAACTTCCTTCATTGCACAGTATGTTTCATTTAACTCATATCCCCATCTCTGTTAAATTGCCTTCTGTGTGTTCACGAAACAGTTCAGTAAAAACCAAACAGGAGATAAAGACTAATGTAAACACACTATGCGGTCACATTTGATTGAAAGTGAAACATCCCCATGTAGGCTGTGCAAGTGAAAGTCAGGTGTGGTTAGGGCTGCATAAACAAACAAAAGTGATGCAACACCTAAATGAGCAGCAATACTGCATAGGCATCATCTTTCCACTAAACCAGCTTCATCAAGTAAAATTTGTTTTGATGCTTAGAGTAACCCTTTAACATAAAATGCTGCTCTGAAAATTAAACACTAGTGTTAGAAATACAAAGCTGTATTACCAAATGTGTTCAGTCTCTGTGCTTCCCACCTCGATGTAAAGGGTAAAATAAGCCTTCATTTACTTAAAAGAATACTATATAGTCACCAGAACAACTACAGTTTATTGAATTTGTTCTGGTGAGTAGAATCATTCCCTTCACGCTTTTTGCTGTAAACACTGTCTTTTCAGAGAAAATGCAGTGTTTACATTACAGCCTAGGGATACCTCCACTGGACACTCCTCAGATGGGGCAGTGCTGACATTCAGTATCTCCACCCTCTGAATGGAGACACTGACATTTCCTCATATAGATGCACTGATTCAATGCATCTCTATGAGGAGATGCTCATTGGCCAGGGCTGTGTTTGGCTTGTGCTGGTTCTGCCTTCTTGACAAGTTTAGCCATTCCAATGAGTTCCTATGTAAAAGCATTGTGATTGGATCAGATCACCACTCCAAGCAGGCAGATCAGGGGCATAGCAAGCAGCAGACTGCAATAAATGTAAGATTTTGCTATATTTAGGGGGGGCTAGATGGTAGCTTTGACACTATAGGGTCAGGAATACATGTTTGTATTCTTAACCATATTAAGTTCCTTAAAATCGATTCCAGCGCTGATATTCCTCGGCACTGGGTCGTGATCCTCCTCAGATATCAGCTGATGGGGGAGGAGGGGGCAAGTGTTGCACACATTAGGCATTCCCTATAGGAAAGTATTGACTCAATGCTTTCCTATGCAATTTTCTCTGACGCCAATGTTGAACTTCAGGAAACGCCTCTACTGAGGCACTCATTATCTTTTAATGTAAACCTTGCAGATTTTCAAAAACTGCAGTGTTTTACATTGCAGGACTACGGTGGGACAAGGACTGTGCAGCCAGATCACTTCAATAAGATGATGTGGTGTGGTTAACTATAGAGCCCCTTTAATTCCTTAAGGACACATGACATGTCATGATTCCCTTTTATTCCAGAGGTTTGGTCCTTAAGGGGTTAAACACTTTGCAGAACTAGAGAAAATTAGATGTACGTGAATCAAAGAAATCAGGTTTAGCAAGGAGCTATAATTAAAGAAAAAAAACCTACCTTGGCAGAACAGGTAGACAGAAAAACCTGCATTGCCCTTACATGTGGGTGCTGAGTAAGTTGTATCCTTAAAAAGGATACATCTACCATCTGAGAGGTAAAAGTTTAAATTCCATACTTAGATTTGTGGGTTGTTTTTTTTTGTTTTTTTTTACATGACAACATAACGTTTATGAAGACACAGAATACATTGGTTTAAGAACACGATGCAAAGCCAACAGCCCAATAAATGGCAAACAGAATCTTTTCCATAAGGCGAACAGTATTAAAATGGCCAAAGAAGAACTATGTTATTCTAAGACTTCAAAGTCTAAGTGCTTTTGTGTACAAGTTAGCAAGAGGATAAGGGGTGTGGAGGGAAAAAAATTAAAAAAAAAAACCCTCCAAAAAGACTAAATGCTGTTCCAGTATACAAAGCACTGAAGTTACTAGAAGCCATCACTGAACGACATTATAGGACTGTATTTTGACTACATATTATGAAGACGTACAAGTCAATTTAAAATTGAACTTTGGAAAATTTTGATAATGAAAAAACTAAAAATGGATGGACTGCAGTTTGAAAGAAGTTTTTGAATACTCACCAAATGTATACTTTTGTTTACCTAACAGATAAAGGGCATCAAATGAGTGGGGGGGAGAGGGGGAGCTAGAAAGTGGGAGACAGGCTTTGTGTTAAAACCAACAAACATGGACTTTTATTGGAGGAGTGTGTTAATAAATCAAGCAATGTAGCTTTCACAATAGAATTGTTCGAAATTAGAGCCAAAAGAAAGCAATCAATACACTATACTTGCAAAATAATTCACTCCAGCAACCTGCCAATTTAAATGCCATTCTGCCATAATGTGACCAGACCTGCTTTCATCCCTACATACTTATTTCATGCAAATGAAAAGTACTTATTGACAGACATGGCAGAACATCTGCCTATAGTGTGTCTGATCATGAATAATTCAAGCTAAATGATCAAAAGATTAAATCACCAAGAGTATGCATAAGGCTACTGCACAAAGACATAGCGATGGACTGCAGAGTTACCACAGTCTAAAGTAAGTCTTGTATGCCAAATTTGATGATGTACAGACTCACCACTCCCAAGAGCAAAAATACATAAGGAGTCACCTGTTTTTTTTTAAACAAATATGAGTTTATTGAAAGGAAAAAATAAAAGGCACACATGGTAAAATAAAGGTGCAAATTGGCTTTTATCAACACGTGTAGCATTGCAGTATATCAGAGTGCAACATCACTATAAAAGAACTGAAAAAACAATGTTGCTGCTATGATTTAACCACATTCTAAAGTCTGCACCAAGCAGAATTCAGGTTTACATGTGTATCAGAACTTCTGGGTAACACAGCAGACATCACATAGCTTGTTTCCACTCTCTGCAGTCTTCAATTCCAGCGTTGATGAAGAAACCATTCAATATTCACTCACTACTAATAATGACAAGCATACAGTGTTCATTATTTCTCGATCACTCACCCATGCATCGGACCATGAATAATGCTGTGAAGCTCAGTAAGTTACTCAGATGAAGTAACCATTACCTTCAGCAGGACAAACGTGAAATTATTTAGCAACAACTGCTGCCTTTTGTTGCCAGTTACATTGAAAAGGTTGAAATGGATAAACAATACACCAACATGTCAAGTTGACCCCAAGACAAACAAACAGATTTATTATTTGTTTCCTTATTCACGAGCACTAATAAAATTCTAATTCAAGGCTTTTCATTATCCTTGACAATGTCTGTGGGACAAATTAGATGTCAAAATCATAAACACACCCATTAGACAATGCATGCAAATTAAATAAAGTGGAAAGTACTTGCTAGCCTAGAATGATGCTCAATGAGATTGTGAGGAAAACAGAAGACTTATTTGGGGTGTAGTTAAATGTGCACACTTTTTGTTGTTGTTTTTTCACCAACAAGTACAATGTAGAAATTTACTCTGTCTTTTGCACTCAGTAATAAACACAGATGACAGAATGACTTATGAGCTCACCCTTACAAAGCCTCTATACAGACCAAAACAACTCAAATACATCCTGTTACGCACAAGCAACTACCTCCCCGTGGAGAAGATGGGCTCCTGACACAGCAACATGTTTAAACTTGTATAATTTTTGAAAGCTTTCACAGGACGCATAATAGCCAAGTGCAGCTAGAAAATGAAAAAAGGCATTTACATGTTTGTTTTTTCTTGAAGATAAGGTGAACTTGAATCTCAAATAAGTGAAGTTTACATTCATCTTTATCAATTGCTTGTCACCATAGAACGAAGACGACGTACAACAGAATGTGTGAAGACAATACAAACTGCTTTATACTTCAGTAGTATAAAAAAAAGTCAGATAGTAGTAGTGTAATTGACATTTAGAAGGTCTAACTTTCACTACAAGCTAATGTTGATTAAGCAGAACACAATGTTTAGCCATCAGAGATTCCTTCTCCCTTTGATGTTACATTATTGAAGGCAATGATTAAAATATTGACAGAATTCAAAGAAACCCCACCCCAAAAAACCCTATAAAATACCCCCCCACACACACACTTAAGTTATACCAACCGAGCTGCTTATAAACTAGGGTACGTAAGATGAAATAATTGACTTTTAAAAGACACAAGATGAGAACAAAAAAAAACAAAAAACCCACAAGGCTTTTACAGTGTACATTATAGTTTGGTGAATGATGATGTTAAAAATAAGTCTCTTTTAAAACAACTACCTCATGGTTGAAGTATAAGAACTGCACATCTGTGTGCACAATTTGTAATACCCTGAACAAATTACAGATCTTTACCCAGCAGGAGCACAATAATGGTATAGAGTTCGATATGGCTTTTTTTTTGTATTTTATAAAAATTGAGTCTTGAGAAACAGACTATTATTGGTATGGTTTACTTCCACCCAAAAATACTGATCTGAACGGCGATGGAAAAAAAACAAAAACACCCTAAGACAGGCAACAAAATGTAAACAAGCTGTCTTCCTGGTTGCTAGAACTTCCCCTGACCCCAAAAATTACCACGTCCACAGTAGAGCTGCCCCGGCACAAACTCCACAGCATTCACCCAGTCTTCTGCCTGTGAGCAACCAGCAGCCAGGTCACAAACTGCCAGTTCAGCTGCCTTACTGCTGTTAGTGCAGCTTGGTTCCATGTTGGACTCAGGGGGATAGATTCTGGCACTAGACGCATCTCCCATCACTTCTTGCTTTAGTGGCTTTGAGTGTTCATACCTTATGGAGAGAAGAAAAACAGACTACATCAAATTCATCGTCTCCAAGCAACATTCCCAATAACTTATAAAGCACTTTGAACGGGATATACAAAGTACTTTGTGCAATACTCAAATGCACAAAGGAGCTGCTAAGTAGATCCAATCAGAATCCCATTGACAAATGTAATGTTGGGAATTCATTTACATGCTACTCCAGGTACAAAAAAAAAAAAATTCAACAGACAACTCACAAAAAGTTATTTTTTTTTGATAATTAAATGTACCAGTTTAAAACTGAAGCATATGCTGGGATCCTGCAAAGAACATTACGGTTATATCATGACACTTTGCACAAAACTTCCTGTATACAATCATGACGTGATTGCAAAGATAAATGTATACATATGATCTGTGTAATGTGTAGGGAGAACTTATTCTGCATGTGGATTTTGTGACCATTGGCTTTACTGGACATCATATATGCCATGTAACAAAACAAGATCTGCCCCTTGGTTAAGCGGTACAAGTTATAGAATTGGGTATTCCACAAGGAAATGGATCGTTATTCTGAGGATTGATAGCATATCAATTCCATGTGTTACATAGCAGAAGTCCTGAGACTGTCATGCAACCAGAGTGAACCATTGACGTAAGTTACAAAGGTGCAATTAGTCATTTGGGTAAATGATGATACAATACATCATATGCCTGGCAACTGGTTGCTTGTGTGTAAGTGAAGAACAGGGTCCTCCGGATGTATGCCCCATTTAGTTAGTGTTACCTGCAGTAGTCTCCATAAGCACAGCAGCCTCGCTGATAATATCTGCAAATCATGTTCGGCTGGCTGATGGACAGATCGTGGGAGTAGCGACAGTGGTTTCCTTCTTTGCAGACGCCGTGAATAAAATATCTGAAAGACCAATTAAATCACTTTAGGTTAAACATTATTTTACATTGATTCACAAAAAAAAAACCTTAGGTAAAGTTTACTCAAACCTCCAGACCACTTCTGCTTTTAGAAGTGGTCATGGAGCAAGGAGACTTTGCGTGCAGCGTTTCAGCTTGAAACGCAACAGAAACAGATATTTGCACTTTTATTCCAGGGTCCAGTCACACCACCTGGAGGCAGAAACGCTTTCCCATACTGTGGAATATTAACCTAGTGCCAAAATTAGGTCAGTCATTATCATGCTGAGAACATATGTTATCAGCTTGAAACCTTGCAGAGAAGGAGTCTGAACGGGGAATCCTAGTTGTGCTCTCTCTACCTCACACCATTGACCATTTTTATTTGTTAATTCCCTACCTAGCTCAGAACAGTCCAATGAAATGCTTCTCTATGACAGGCATTTGATTTGGACCACCGAGAGGAAAGCGATGACGGACAGGGTGTGGAAACCAGCAATGGGAGTTTCACCTAGCACTGAATTCCAGATGAATGTTTACAATAAGGAGCACTATATGGTCAGGAACACAAACATATTTCTGACCAAACAGTGTTAAAAATCACCATCTAGCCCCCCTAAATATAGTAAAATCTTACTTGTATTCAAGCCTGAAGCTGCTGGCTCTGTGTTTGTCTGCCTCAGAATAGCAAGCTGTCTGCTGACATCATCAGAAGTGTTATTCTGAGCCAATCACAATGCTTCCCCATAGGATTGTCTGAGACTGTGAAGGAGGTAGTCAGAAGCAAAGCCAGCAACAAGTCAAACACAGCCCTGGCCAATCAGCATCTACTAATAGAGCTGAATTGAATCAATGAATCTCTATGAGGAAAGTTCAGTGTCTGCATGCAGAGGAGGGAGAGACTGATATATTGTGATCCGCACTAGGCAAGACTGGGATAGGAAGCAACTCTAGCAACCATATGAGGAGTGGCCAGTGAAGTTATCACTAGGCTGTAGTGCAAACTCTGCATTTTCTCAAAAAAAACCACAGTGTTTATAGCAATAAAAAGCCTGAAGGGTATGAGTCTACTCACCAGAACAAATGCAATAAGATGTAGTTCTGGTGACTATATTGGCCCTTTAAAGGGTTGAATTAACACTTTAAACAATTTCCCTCGAAAAGCACCTCATCTCACCTACCCCACACCTTATAAAACCAATAAGCAGTCTATTAACATACATTACTTAACTCACTTTTAGTCTAATTAGAGCAAAATCCCCCACTAGCCAATATGGGCCATCAAATACCCTCTCACATTTTGCAGTAGCTGTCCAAGCCAGCATGTGCACACATTAAGTGGGTCACTACTGCAGATCTGATACCACAAGTGTTCAGATGGCTTCTGTAACATATCCAGAGCTCTTTACATACCACCATTCTAAAATACATAAAAAAAAAAAAAAAAACAACACATACACCATTGTCACAACAAAACCCTGAAGTATTTCCATAGGTTCGCCACAAATCCTCCACTTATAAAGGAAAGAGCCCAATGTGCAGCAATCATATCCCCCTACAATCATACCCTCCCATCATACCACCCTTCCATCGTCCGTCACAGCCATTCCTACTCCTCCCCCCTGCAGACCCCCCTCAGCTCCGTGCAGTATCGCAGGTTCAGCTGGTTTTCCCCATTAACACAGAGCCACGGGGCCCCCAGCCCTCTATACATATTATTCAAGGTTCATCTCCCCAGGCCCTTACCTGCAGGTGACCTGCCGAGTCCAGCCTCCCGCGGGGGGATTGTCCGGGAGTGCGGGGAGCGGGGCCTTTACTGCCGCGGCTGCTGGTGTGAGAGATGCAGGCGCCACCGCTGCCTCCGCCATTCCTGTTTATCCCCCCCACAACTGCAACGGAACTTCCGGGATCACATACTTCCGGCGAGGGGGAGGGGCCACACTGATACACAACTTCCGGCGTCATCGGATGGGCGGGGTGTGCATTGGCCCCTTAGCCAATCACGCTCTCTTTGTTACCACGCCCACCACCTGGAATTGTTTGTATTGTGCTGCACGCTGTTCCGAGCAGGGCGAGCCCTTTAAACAATTAACCCCTCACGAGACGGAGCCAATCGTACACATACTAATGTAAACAAAGCGTGGAATGTGAGCTGCATGTCTGTTCAACCATAATTAACCCCTTCAGGACGGAGTCAGTAGTGCACGTTCTGATCAAAACGTAAACAAAAACTGGAATTTGCGCTATATGTCTGTTCAACCGTAATTCACCGCTATCACCCACACTTATTATATATCATTTTGTTCAGGAGAAACAGGGCTTTAATTTATCATTAATTATTCATATATGGAACGTCATTTATTATGAATAAAATTTACAATTTAGAAAATAAGATATTTTTTTAAATTTGTATTTCTGTCTGACATTTTAGCTGTTAATGACATAATACTGTTAGGTATTACTGCAAAAAAATGCACATATTTGTAATCAGCGATGTCTCATGAGTACAACAGTACCCCCTATTAACAAGTTTTATGGTGTTTTGGAAAGTTACAGGGTCAAATATAGAACGTTCCATTTTCAAATTGAAATTTGCCAGATTAGTAATGTTGCCTTTGAGACGGTGTGGTAGCCCAGGAATTAGAATTACCCCCATAATGGCATACCATTTGAAAAAGTAGACAACCCAAGGTATTGAACGTGGGGTATGTTTAGTCTTTTATAGTAGCTACTTAGTCACAAACACTGGCCAAAGTTAGCGTTCATATTTGTTTTTGTGTGAAAAAAGCAAAAAACTAATATTTGGCCAGTGTTTGTGACTAAGTGGCTACTAAAAATGACTAGACATACCCCATTTGCAATACCTTGGGTTGTCTACTTTTGCAAATGGTATGCCATCATGGGGGTAATTCTTATTCCTGGGCTACCATACACTCTCAAAGGCAACATAACCAATCTGGCAAATTTCAATGTCAAAAAAATGAAATGCAAGCCTTATATGTGACTCTCTAACTTTCCAAAACACAATAAAACCTGTACATGGGGGGTATTGTTATTCTCGGGAGACTTCACTAAACACAAATTAGTGTTTTAAAACAGTAAAACATATTACAACAATAATATAGTCCATAAAAGTGCCGTTTGTTTGTAAAAAATGCAAAAAACTTCATTTTTACTTAAAATATCATCATTGTAATACAATTTACCAGTTTGAAACACTAATATTTGAGTTCAGCGAAGTCTCCCGAGTAAAACAGTACCCCCTATGTACAGGTTTTATGGTGTCTTGGAGAGTTACAGGGTCAAATATAGTGCTTGCGAATTAAATTCTCTGCACTTTCTCCCTGTGTTGTCAGGCATGTCACTCAAATTTTAATTAATCAAATCACATAATTATGTTAAAAGATTACTTAAATATACACGTAGAATTTTAATATATATGCATTTATAGGTATTTAAATTCTACTTGTATACTAATGTAATCTTTTATGTAATTATATGTATTTATCTATATATATAGATTTGCGGTTATTTGTATTTTATATATAGATAGATATATATAGAATGTCATTCTAAGTGTATTTTGTTACCAATATATATATATATATATTAATAACAAAATACAGTTAGAATGAAATTACATATGAATATATAATTTTAATAAAATTTTATTAAATTTTTTTATTTATTTATTAATGTAATTATACGTATATATATATATATAATATATGTGTATATATCTATAATATATATAATATATATACATATTATATATATATGTAACGTCATTCTAAGTGTATTTTAATATTAATATATATACTAATAAATAGTATTCAAATACACAACGTATGATGTTATATATATATATAATATGTATATATATTATATATATAATATATATGCATATATTATATATATATATATATATATATATATATAAAAATATATTTAATTTATTTTTACACATGTTTATTTTTTATTTTTTTCATTTCCCACCAGCAGGGGGACTGTCTGATATTTCAGACAGTCCCCTTGCTGGCAGGTCCACAGCCAGCTATGGGGGGGCCATGTGATCGCTCTTTGAGAGCGATCACATGGCCCCCGGGGGCATCATTTGCTGGGGGAGGGCTGCCTGGGCGGTCAGGCAGCCCTCCAGAAGAGGATCGCAGCAGAGGTAAGTAGCTGCGATCCCCTGGGGCTGAAAGCCGTTACGGCGTTCTATGCCGCCGCAACGGCTTTAAAGCCCTTTAAAGCCACGACGGCATAGAACGCCTTAACGGCGTTAAGGGGTTAACCTCTGTCATGTTGAGTGCACCCACACTCATTATATATCATTTTGTTCAGGAAAAACCGGGCCTTTATATCACATCAAATATCTATATATGAAACATAATTTTATAGAAATAAAAAATAAGTGTGAAGACATTTTTTTTTTTTATTTCTGCATGGCATTTTAACTGTGATTACCGTTAGACTTTACTGCAATAAAGTACACATATGTGTGTTCAGCGATGTCTCACGAATAAAGTCTAATACTATCCTTACCTTTTGTGTCACTTTAACCCACTCCCTCTAGCATGTAAGCTGATTGAGCAGGGCCCCTCTGTTCCTGTGTGTCCAACTTGTCTGGTTACAACTACGTGTCTGTTCGTCCACCCATTGTAAAGCGCTGCGGAATTTGTTGGCACTATATAAATAATAACTTAATAATAATGTACAGGTTTTATGGCACTTTGGAAACTTACAGGGTCAAATATAGGCCTTTGCGTTTTCCAATTTTTGCCTATTGAAATTTGCAGGATTGGATATGTTGACTTTGACACCGAATGCCAGCCCAGGAATTCAAATTAACCCAATCATGGAATAGCATTTGCAAAAGTAGACAACCCAGGGTATTCAAAATGTGGCATGTCCAATCTTTTCTAGTAGCCACTTTGTCACAAACACTCTTTCACTGATAATATCATCAGCATTTTACACTGCACTAAAACTCTCATATTTGTGTTATTATTATTATATTTATATGGTGCCAACAAATTCCGTAGCGCTTTACAATGGGTGGACTAACAAACATGTAATTGTAACCAGACAAGTTTGACGCACAGGAACAAAGGGGTTGAGGGCCCTACTCAAGATGCTTACATGCTAGAGGGATTGGGGTAAAGTGACACAAAAGGTAAGGATAGTATTAGACTAATGACAGATGTCTCAAGAGTACAACAGTTACCCCCCTTTCCTCCCCCCCCAAAGAAAAATAATGGGGGGGACCTATTGTTCCCCCCCCCCCCCCGGCCCTCAACCCCTAAGCGGCGGGTGGGAGCCTTAAATTAGAATAAGGCCCTAAATACCAATAGGTGGGGGGACTTATTGGCCTGAGCGGCAGGTAGAAAAAAAGAACCCCCGAATCCTGGGACGAACTTTTAAATAGGCAGAAGCACAGAAAACTGGACATAAAGCTGATCCCTGTAATGAATGAAGAGTAACTAAGCACCCTTTACCAAAAAAGGTAAGTTTTCGACCGCTGCAGACGGATAACAACCCGATCTAGCTTTAACTCAACATCCTCCAATTGAACACCCCCCCACCAGATCAACTACCACGAACCAACTCAGACCAGGCAGCACTCCGAGCAGGTTTTGCAGAATCTCCAAAAACCTTGTAAAGCCAGACAAACTAAAAAAAATAATTTGTGACATCTTCCCAACCATTAAGCTTAAACAAAAATGCCAAAGGCTGACATATCTACCACCAAAGGAGAATCACCAGTAGAAAACAATCTACACAAATATCACAACAGCGTATCCAGCTGTACCTCCGCAGAGTGGTGTAACGAAGCAGAGACACACGCCTCTTCCCAAGCCCTCCACACCTTAATATACGCCGCTCAAGTACTTGGAGCCAAAGACTCTCTGATCAGATGTCCAAGCAGGAGGTCCCAAGCCACCACATGTCGTCTGGACAGACCAGACCCTCCTCCTCCCGAGCACCAGGAGCCGCCATGCAAAACTTCTCCCACTGAGACAGCACATTAGCAATGATAATCAAGAACCCAGGCACATGATGTGCCCGAAAAACAATGTTAAATTGCATGCAAAGCAACACAAATGTCGCAACAAGTGAATTACTGGAATAGAAGAGGCAGATAACAAATTAACTGCTGACACCACTGACATGTTATCTGTGACCAACATGACTGTCTTATCCCTCACCATGGGTCCCCATAAAGCCAAATCAACTACTAAGGAAATTTTTTTCCAAAAACGCAAGGTTGCGAACGATGGGATTCACTTTCCAACCCTCAGGCCAAGATTCCGGGCACCAGTGAAATATTCCCCGAAATCCACACTCCCCGAAGCATCTGTAAAAAGTTAAAATTCCGGAGAGGGGCCGCTGCATCCCAAAAAAAGACACGCCCATTAAAATCTCGAAGGAAAATGTCCCAAACTTTCAAATCCTGCTTCATTGGGATAGTAACTCTGATAAAATGATAAGGAGAACTGATCCCTCCCGTCACCTTTGCAAGGAACCTATAAAATGGCTGAGTAATGATTGCAATGTTCTTAGTGTCACCTTCCGTGCCTCCCGAACGACCTGACGAAGCGCCACGACTTATGTCAAGAGTGTTATGCTTTCTATGGATTTGGAGTCGAACTCAACTGCAGAAATAAAATTAGGAAAACCTTTTAGGTTTTTTAGATTAATAACTAGGAAAGAAAGATTAGTTATTCAATAAGGTTTTATTTAGAAGTGATTGTTGGGAACAATTCCTCTTATTTGAAGAATACAATATGAATATAATTTGATGAGATGAATTCAATGAGAAGGGTTCCTGTAGTCTTAAGGAACATGATATGTAGAATATTTGAAGAGTACAGTTCCTGTAGCTTTAAGGAATGAAACAAGCAGATAAAGTGATATGATGAGTTCCTGTAGCTTTAAGGAATACAATATGAAGATAGTTTGATGAGGA